TTTTGAGAATTCTCTGATTTTCTGAGCAAAAATTTATAGAGAAGGCTTCATGCACTGTRTGACAAGATACTGTATTAAAACTTTGCAAAAACTTAATGGGGCCTTGACTTTCTGAAAACAACAGGAACACTGTGTGAATATGGTGTTCCTTGTTATGTAATTTTATATGGAATTCAAATGTTGATATTGATTTTCAGCTTTTGACACACAACAAAAGGTTGCCTTGCTGCACAGTATGTGAGACTTTTCATGGAGAAGTTTTGCTAGGTGGGTAAAGTCGCTGGAACCTGCAGAAGCACAGGCAGCACCCTGTATCACAGAGGTAGCTCATTAGTTGGACATGGACTGGAAACAATAGTGTAGACATTTAAAGTCATGTGTTAAAATACAAAGTGGAAATCTGGCTTTTGTTGCTTCACAGCTTTTCTTTCTGATTCGAATTTCATTTGACAACTGCACTTCCCACCAGGTGAACATCAGATGGAGTTGCTTGACTACGTAGCAGCCAAGTTCCATGAGGAGGCTGGTATCTTCAAGCTGTTGGTACAAGACTTCAGCACTTCTCTTTCATTTCCCTTACTGTTTTCAGAATCATTTTTTCCTCTTTTCTTCCACTATATTTATCTAGCCTAATTTCAATGCAGATAATAGACTCCATTATGGCRCTCTTCCGTGTGGATTTTAGTGGGCGTGGAGAATTGGCTGAACGGCAACAGAAACTTGCCCAGATGCTGTCAAGGCTCCAGAAGATATCGGAAGGTAGGGGCTATGTGGCAAAATATGGAAAGCATGAGCAGGAGTTACAGAAACAATAGTTATTGACAGCTTAGCMTAACCTAGGAGTCTTGTCACATCTTGCACTTCAATTGGTGACCAAAAAGAAACTTTAAAAAAGTTGAAACTGATAAAAAAAAAAATTATTTCAAGGTGACAAAGAATTTCTGAAAATTATTCAATATTTAGAATCTTCCTAGAAATTTTAAGAATATTTGAAATAGAATTCCCAAATGAGAGGACAGGTTGGCGAAATCTCCCAAGTGCTACCGCAGAAGTCAAACAGGAGCAAAGCTAGGCCCTTCCTTGATTAACTTCTGCCATCAGAGGCAAAAACAATTGCTTCTTTTTCCTTTGAAGTGCTTCACTGTCAACCTTGCTTTTACCACGCAAGGTAAAGAGAGAGAATGTGAGAATCTAGTTGAATTATAATTTAATAGATATATATTCTTCTTTCTTGATATTATTTTCTATTGCAGAATATAACGTGGCTGTGTTTGTGACTAATCAGATGACTGCTGATCCGGGAGCAACTATGACGTAAGACACTTTTCCTCTCACCTTCTTTTAAATTTCTTCCCTTTTGTTTTACCTATTTAACAGATTTTATGGAGTGAGAGGCACAGATACAAAGATTACTCCTCATTTTAAAACGGTTTACGACTAGAATGCCATTGGTCCTTCTGGTATGTTGTATCATTTATAAATGACACTTGTAAGCTACTCTGTTTTCTTACTGATTATTGTTCACCAGCTGTTTGGCATGATGGCCTCTCTTCATTGAGATTTGAACTAGGAAAGGAAACCATAAAAAATACTGAATTAAAAAAAAATCTTTTGGAGCAGCTTATAAACAAAGTTTATGTGTTGTATTTCTTCAGTATCTTGAACTTTATGAGAGCAAAAGTGCTAGCATTGAGCATCTGAACATCCTAAGATAGGTGTGTAAAAGTCCACTTTTGATTAATTTACCTATTTATTATTCATTACTGAGCCCTATATACCTTGGCTGAGAGTTAATCACAGTATGATTAATGTAWGAGATTTGCACTGTGAGTCATCAATATTTTCTTTATAATTTAGCTTTCAGGCAGACCCAAAAAAGCCCATTGGGGGCCACATCCTTGCGCATGCTTCAACTACCAGGATTAGTTTGAGGAAAGGGAGAGGGGAGCTGCGTATTGCAAAGATATATGACAGGTAAATCACCTTCTCGTTACAGCTAGGAGGCTGTGTGCAAGGTTAAAGCGATGAACTTCATGGTACTGAAACTTAATAACTTGACAACTGACTCATGCTTTCAAATTAGCTATGTTTCCATACAATATATTGAGAGAAAATGTGGAAAGAGAAACCAATTAACAGACTTAAAGTTCTGTTTAATATCGAGTTTATTAAGTTATATAATGTTTCATCACAAATCCTATTAGATGCTCATCTCCCAAAGAAGATCATCAAATAGTTTGGTAAAATTGGTGGTCCCTTGACAGAAAAGCTCCAGAGCTATTTAATTATGGAATTTTGCTGCCAAGATGAGTAGCAGTTTACCTGGTGGGCTGTGACAGACACAAGTCATTACAAAATGTATTAATGGAATTAGTGTTATTTATAGAGAGAGCCAGTGTTCCTGGTCAGGAACTAAAAATTGGAAGTGAAGGTTTACACAGGCAGAATCTTTGCTTCTGCTGCATCTCCTCCTTCCCCTCACCGTAGTTCTCATCTTCAGAAAGGTAGATTTCACATTTTCTGGTCTTGATAACCTTAATCATTTTATACACACAAACATAAGATGCAGAATTATTCCATGTTGCTTCTTATATCATTAGGGRAACAATGCCACAACTGCATTTAACATGGGAAAAAAAGCTGTTTCATGTTTCTCTTGCTTCCATAGTCCTGAGATGCCTGAAAATGAAGCTACATTTGCAATAACTGCTGGTGGGATTGGAGATGCCAAAGAATAGGCAGAAAACTGATGCAAAGCTACAGCTGCAAACAACATAAGCAGCTGGGATGGAGACATGTGTGCAACGTCACTGAACCCCTGGCCTCATTTTTAAATTTTGGAGATCATTTGAGATATTTCTGGAGGACACTGGAATGAGCTCAGTTCAGTTTTATTCATCTCGATAGAATTTAGTTCCTCTTAGGGTCCTTGTTTTTCAGTTGGACTTTGGACAGATGAAGATTTAAAAAATAAACTTATGAATTGTTCAAAAAATCCTTTCAAAAAAATCCTATTTTGTGAAATTTAAGTCAGTCTTTTCCTATCAGCTTAATGTACCTTTTTATTTCAGTTTCTCTGAAAGTACCTATGAAGTGGAATTGAATAGTGTGAAATGGGACAGGATAAGCATTATGCTTGATATAAGCATATCTTATATTTGATAATTTTCTGAGGTAAGGCACCGTTTTTCACCATGGTGAGAAGTCTAGAGGCACAAAGGCAGTAGCAGGGAGGTTGGTTGATCAGAGCAAGCCAGTGACAGATCAGCAGCTTTCATTTAACGGAGCGTCTAATTCGTTCATCGCGGCCACCGCTCTCCCTTGCCCCATTCGGAGCAAAATTGACGGCKTACTGGTAGTTTCCAGCGTTGTTGCCTCTTGGCTTGTTTTATCGTTTATTTGGGAATCTCTGGTGTTTTTTCGGGGCGGCAAACGCTCATGCACACAGTGCAGCACGTTCCCTCCGTGCCCTCCTTGGTGTGGAGGGCTGGCCTTGCGCGCAGCTCCTCGGGAAGCTCCTGCTGGAATAAGGAACCGCTTGGCAGAGGAGCAGGAAGGCTTTACAGACAGACACTATGCTCGGAAAGGTGGCGTGAGAGGGACATGAACCAGCACACTACAGTAGATCTGCTGCTGTAATTTGTATTTGTATGTGCTCCAGCATTTATTGAACAACGTTATGCCTTATTTTGCTTTGGTTTGTTTGAAGTCAGCAGCAAAGCCACGTTATTTTCTTTTGCGTGCCTTTAAGGGATGATGTATCTCAACAAAATCACCTCTTTAGCCATTTAGGATTTGGAGGCAGCAGATGACCTTACAACATCAACTTTATTAAGGTTTACATTTTGAAAGTACATTCATAAACTTGTAAACACTTGGTGTATCAGCACATGGAATAAGGCTACTGTAAAAAATGCAGACTCTTAAGCAGTTTATTCTCCAGAGAGGCTGCYGTGGGGCTCCTGCTGTTACGGAGCTGCCGGGGCCGAGTTCTGGCCATTTCTGGACACGTCACACCATTTTCTAGCCCGCTGGAAATGGGGAGGAAGCAAACATCATGGCTGCTGTCACTCCAGCTGTGGGCTCGGGGCTGTGCGGTGTGCCCWGATCCCCCCTAGACATCTGCGAGGGAAAGAAAAGGCAGGAGGAGACGCCAAATACCTGCCCCCCTCCCCGGGCAGGCCGCCACGGCGCCCACCGTTCCGTTGTTGTCTCCTCAGCCCCGCCGCCACGGTCCACGGGGACCGCGGCCGCGTAGGCAAGAGGCCGTATTCTCCAACCTCGACTACGCAGCAAGCCTGGCGTAATCCGCCAGCCCTTCCTGCGAAGCCTACGGAAGAATGTTACGCAAAACGGGCGGGCTCTTCCTTTCCTGCGCCAGCCCGAAGTTACGCAACTTGCGTATGGAGTGCGCTTACGTAACGTACGGCTTTGGCCCACGTTTCCCCTGCCGTCCAGAAGGGGCTGCGAGAACGACTCCTTGCGTAGCAGACTTTGAGGAATACGGAGAACGTTACTCTCCTCCCTCCTCTCCTCGCGCAAGGGCCCCGCTCAAGTACGCACCGCTACGTWACTTTCGTAACCCGCCCGCCGTGCCGAACAGTGTTCCGCGAAGTGCGTTTAGAACGTAGCCGGCCTTCGAGAATAGGCGCGGGTATTTTTCGAGGGCCGGCATTTGCGTAGCACTGGGGCGCTCGTAACGTAAGTGAAGCGGGTCGGGGAGGCGGCAGCCATTTTGTGCCGGGAGCCCGGAGGAAGAAGACGCTGGTGTCTCCACACTGCACGGGCCCTGGAGCCGACCGAGAACCCCGCCGTTCCGCCCGCCGACGCTCAGCGGGTCTCTGACCCACTGACGACTTCTTCTCCCTTTGTAGCCCTCCCGAGAACCGAGGTGGCGCAGAGCGACTCCGCCGAGACACAGCCGCCGTTGGCTGGCCCCTCTCCTCGCACCCCTAGCCCCTCGCCATCGCCACGGCCAGCATTCCGTTGCCTTTCACCCACCCCTCCGGGGGCGCTGAGAGGCTTCGGAGACCGAGGGCGCGACCGAGACCGCGGAGGGTAAGGG